TGAAAATCGGCCGGTTAGATCTCGAGATATCAAGGGGGGTCGTAAACAGCCCCCCCTGCCACTAATATGGGGTAGCCAGGAGCCTGCCACTAATAGGGTTAAAAGGAAAAGCGTATCTTCAGAGGCTGCATTTTTATTGTTCTTGGGACCCATCCATATGACAACAAATCGATTATAACATAAGCATAGACGTCCTTCAAATTGCAGTATCATGCCATAACTGCGATGTGTATCGTTATGCCACAGGCAATACAGTGGGCATGTCAACTACGATCAGATGTAGCCGTGAGTCCATCTACCGCTCGCTAAGCCTGTTGTATGTGAGTGAGTGGTCAGTACGGGGAGGCCGATGGCACGCCGCCGCCGGCCCGGCCTGACCAGTGCAGCGTCTGGCTATCGTCCAGCCGTGCACGGTGTGTTCCGTTTCCGGCGGGCTGAGTCCCTCGGCCGGGCCGGGCCGGCCGTGGCGCGTCTCGCTGTGGCCGTCTGTCCGATCGGCCGCGTCCCCCTCACCGCCCCCTCCGGCCGAGACGGGTCCGTCTGGCGAGACGTTCCGAGCCGTGTGTCCATGTGGAGTGAATGCACTGCTAGCCACTGCAGCTATTTGGTGCCCGGCTGCCGGAATAGAGTGTCGGAGCGGCGGCAGAGGAGTGACGGCAGCTGTTTGTGGTGGATTCTGACGGAGCTGACCACCGGCACAATAAGACTGCAGCGGCACCAGCCACGGGGAGGGGGCTGCAGCTGGGAGTGTCACCGGACCGCTCTCCGTGCCGGCAGCTGACACTGACCGGTGGCCGGTCTGACACTGTCAGGGGCTGCAGTGTCAGTGTGTCAGTTCAGCTGACAGTCGGAGCACCAGCAGCTGGACACAGCTGACACTTTTTTTTAATTTAGTCTTCCCGGCATGCCTAAGGCAACCGCCAGGGAAGGGGAAATTACTAAGGCTGGCAATGAGCCAGATCTTTCGTTTTACTTTACTTTACTGTCAGCTATTTAATTCTGACCCAAGCAAGAGAGAGAAGCAAACTTTACTTTAATTCGGCTCATGTGGCGTCCGATTAACAAGGCAAGGGTGTCCAGAAAGGGGTAGAATATTCATACTTGCTGCTGTAAATCTTGCTGCTGATGGTGTGAGGTGTTGCAATGTGTGATGTTTGCTGTGGGATGTATTTACCAGGAAAAGTCCTAACTAGAAAAAACCTGGTGCCTAAGTCAAGGGGCAAAAACTGTCGAGTACAGTAAAAATCCCCGCAATAGCTACGTTACGTTATATCTCTAATGTGGACAGTGAAAGTGTAATTGCGCAGGCTGTTCGCAGGGATCGGCCAAAATAAAAACCGGCCTACCGAGTGAGACAGCCAGCGGGTTATGGCAGCCGGTGTGACCCGGGTGCCCCAGTCATGTCCCGCCCGTCTCAGGGGTACAACTTTGACTGGAATTTGGTGGCTCTGGAGGAGTAGCCGTGAGGCATAGCTCGACTCCTAGGCAGCGATGTTGGTAGGACTAGTGGTTACCCGTTGGAGGAATTATCTGAAGGAAGATACGGCGTCCGTGGTGAGGGGGTCCGTCAAAATAGAAGCCAGCCACGGCTGCCCTGTACGCTTTGGATTCTGGGCGAAGGTCAAGGTCGTATAGTCGGATTTCATGGTCAAACCAGTAGAGGGTGGAGGGAGGGTAGGAAAGTCGCCTGCCGCTGGCGTACTCAAACTTCAGCGACCCGATGTCAGGTGGAGGGATCTCACCCCTGGGACGTCTCTTCGGGATCAGGTCTGGACCGGGATCGTCGGTGTCGTTTCGGGGGCTGTCAGGCTGGAAGCTCGCCGTGTAGCCTCGGGTGAACGGCCTGCTTCGAGAGCAGCCGAAGTCGTCGGGGTCCGTGGTTGGTGTCGATGAGTCGGGGGTGTCAGTCTGGACTTCGGCAGAGACCAGTCGGGCGGGTCGAGTTTGAGAGGTCGAGTCGAAGGTGGTCAGTTTGGTCGTTTGGGTGCTGGCGTCGGTCGTCTGAGAGCTGGCTGTCTCGGTCTGGGTCTGAACAGGGACTGCGGTCGCCTTAGGGGCCATGACCTCACCATCTGTCTGGACAGAGGCGTCTGTGCGAGCCGGAGGGGGCTGCATCGTTCGGTGCTGACTCTCAAGTGGAGGCCAAGCTGTGGAGTTGAGCGGCGGGGGTTGGAATGGCGCTCGCTCTCGAGTTTCTCGTTTGGTGGTTTTCCAGACGGGGCAGCTGTTTCGGTATATATAGACCACTGTCACTCGGACACTGACACGGACTGGGACGGCACGACGGTGTGACGTCACACTGGCCTCCAACACGGCCTCCAACAGCTGCACCCGGCTGTGGGCACGGACACACCGGCTGCAGCCAGTAACGCTCGCCGCTGTGCTGGAGCCGCCCGCTGGACACAGCAGGGACGGGGGCTGACAATCGTCCCGCACTGCAACGGAAAGGCCACACGACGGCAACGGGGGTGACTGCTGTGGTGGGATTTTCCGATAAATACGGGAATGGTGGTGAGCTCGGTGTTATTTTGTGTGTATTTGACGAGGGGTGACCGGTTGATTTGGTGAGTGCGTCGATGGACAGGCGAGGGTGATTGGCTGATTTTGTGAGTGCGTTGATGGCCTGGTGAGGGTGATGAGTTGATTTTGTGAGTGCGTTTATGGACATGCGAGGGTGATAAGTTGATTTTGTGAGTGCGTTGATGGACAGGCGAGGGTGATTAGTTGATTTTGTGAGTGCGTTGATGGACAGGCGAGGGTCATTAGTTGATTTTGTGAGTGCGTTGATGGACAGGCGAGGGTGGTTAGTTGATTTTGTGAGTGCGTTGATGGACAGGCGAGGGCACGTGGTTGACAGCGAGACAAGCCGGCTGCTGGATGTGCTGTGACAGTGTGTCGGTGCTTGTTGTCGGTGTCTGGTGGTGCAGCTGGCGGCGGCCCGCTGCCATACGGGAGCGGTCGGTCGGCAGGCCGCTCGGCGGCTCGTCCAGCCGGTAGTTGGTGTCAGATCTCTGAGGCCGGTGTGTCAGAGCCGGTGAGCCCGGTCAGGGCACGGCCGGAGCACGGCCACGGCCCCGGCGGCGGCACGGCGTGCTTGTCAGTGGGCCGGCCGTGACCTGGCGGTGACCGGTCGGTCTGTCTGCCGACCGACCACCGGTCGAGCCCCGACCGACCACTGGGACGGCACCGGTGGATGATCAGGGGGCGGGCGGGACATTTGAGACTATTGACTTATGGAAGACCATCGTTATTCGTTCGTGACTGCTGATTACATAGTTCAGAGCGTATGTTCTGTATGTTTCTCGATAAACAGGGGCAGGTGTGTTGTATGTGAGTGAGTGGTCAGTACGGGGAGGCCGGCTGGCCGGCGGCCGATGGCACGCCGCCGCCGGCCCGACCTGACCAGTGTAGCGTACTGGGAGCAGCGAGGTCTGAGGCTGTCACCTCGGCGCCGCGGGCAGCGTCGGCCGGCCGCCGCCTGCCCTGTCCTCTCCGGTGTGGACGGAGACGAACATCGGACATAGGAGCGTCCCCGGCGGCCGTTTGTCCCAGTTGTGGGGCCATGCCGGCGCGTCGGACGGCACGGAGGGGAGTCGGGTCGTAGTCATGTGACTGCACGGTGGTGTGTAAGGTCGATCGACGAATACAAGGTGCATTGGAGAAGACACCCAGTTGACCACGTGACCTCGAGCGACCCTACACAGCGGACTGGGGAGAGGAGAAGGACAGGGTTGGGGGCTCAGCGGCCGCCGCAGAAACGGACACTCACATATAGGGTAGGGACAGTCGGCAGAGACAGTCCCACCGGTCCCACTCATGGGGTAGGGACAGTCGGCAGAGACAGTCCCACCGGTCCCACTCATGGGGTAGGGACAGTGGGCAGAGACAGTCCCACCGGTCCCACTCATGGGGTAGGGACAGTCGGCAGAGACAGTCCCACCGGTCCCACTCATGGGGTAGGGACAGTCGGCAGAGACAGTCCCACCGGTCCCACATATAGGGTAGGGACAGTCGGCAGAGACAGTCCCACCGGTCCCACTCATGGGGTAGGACAGTCGGCAGAGACAGTCCCACCTGTCCCACTCATGGGGTAGGAACAGTCGGCAGAGACAGTCCCACCGGTCCCACTCATGGGGTAGGAACAGTCGGCAGAGACAGTCCCACCACTCCCACTCATGGGGTAGGAACAGTCGGCAGAGACAGTCCCACCGGTCCCACTCATGGGGTAGGGACAGTCGGCGGAGACAGTCCCACCGGTCCCACTCCTGGGGTAGGGACAGTCGGCAGAGACCGTCCCACCGGTGCGCGCCGCTCAGTGTCCCAGAGGGTGCGTCGCTGAGGTGCCGCGGCGCGCCGCAGCCCCGGCTCCGGCCGGCCAGCACCGCTCAGGTGACTGACGGCGGTCAGCCCAGCCGGCAGCGAGTCGCCGGGACCGGCAGCTCGGCCACCGGCTGCAGTCCGGGCCGCCGACAGACGAGCGGCCACGGCCGGCGGCACCGCACCAGTCGGCAGACAGCTCTGCAGCCGCGCCGCACCGCTGTATGGCCGGGACGGGGGGACTTGGTGCTGATTATAATACCACATCAGTCGAGTAGTTCTGACTTTCACTCATCACTTGTTTCGCTGTAGCTCGAGTGGATATGGCCGGGCAGAAGCCAGAGACCGTGTATGTCCGTGTCGAGGTGTCTCTCCGTGTCTGTACGTGTCGAGGTGTCTCCCTGTGTCCGTGTCGAGGTGTCTCCGTGTATGTCCGTGTCGAGGTGCCTCGGTGTCTGTCCGTGTGTGTCACTGCAGTGTCTGCAGTGTGTACGGCTGCTGTACGGTCCGTATATGACGGGTACGGAGACGGTGTACGGAGACTGCCGCTCCGCTCCGCCGGGGCGGACTGTCTGTGACCGCGCGGGGCGGGGCGGAAAATGACGGTTCACAGCGGGGCGGGGCGGAAAATGACGGTTCACAGCGGAGCGGGGCGGACGGTGCAGTCGGACAAACACTCGGCACACTGCTCATTGGTTTATTGAAGGCTACATATATGATACAGCTCAAGCAACTCCTCTCGTGTATGTATAGTAGACAGAGAGTAGAACAGACACCCGCTTGCCGGAGCGGGTGGGCGGGCGCGGCTGTGAGCCGCCGTCTCAGCTGACACCGCCTATACAGCTCGGACGGCCTGTTATCCAGTAGTATATTGATATATACCTGTCCGTGTGAGTGTCACAACACTCACCCTGAGCACTCAACATGGCGCGCTGTGCACTCGAGATGTCAATCGGATACCAACGTTTTGGTATACCGATACCAAACCGATACCAACTTGGTACTTGGTGTTTCAATCGCAATGTGTTTGGTATTTTGTTGGTATCATAAACCCTCGCTAATGTATAAGAGGCTAATAAATCGGTAAAAAGTTGGTATTTCCCTCATTTTCCCAAGTTGGTTTGGTTTCGGTATTTTCCCGGGATTTTCGTTGGTATTTAGTTAGGAATCGGTATTCTGATTTTCTGTAATTGACATCACTACTGTGCACCTCGGTGCCCGGTGAGACAGCGTCCCCGTCCGACTGCCCGCCGAGCCGACCCGGCACGGCGGTCACGTGACCGATCCGTTCGACCCGGCACGGCGGTCACGTGACCGAGCCGGCCGACCCGGCACGGCGGTCACGTGACCGAGCCGTCCGACTCCACCGGGGGACGGTCACGTGACCGAGGCCGGCCGTGCCGCCGGGACCAGGCGCGGTGAACCGAGTCGGACGGTCCGGGATGGCCCGCATTCATACAGCTCAGCTAAGATGTGGGTTCCATATACAAAATATCGCAATGTCGCGATCAGTTTCTACACTCAATCACATCACTTTTCACTGTCCCATTACCCACAATACCCGCCCGGTAATTACCCACTGGGTCACATCCCTCCAGCCAATTACCCACAATACCCGCCCGGTAATTACCCACTATACATCACACCCGTGTGCTAGTACTACATCTACACTACTACTACTACAACTACATGACTACACTAGAGCGGACACGGGGGCCGTGTGCCGGCTGACCGGCGCCGCTCTCAGTGCCGGCTGGTGCAGCACACACGGCAGCAGTCAGCTGGCGGCCCCGGCCGACTGGCTCGGCCTCTCTGCAGTCAGCTCATCACTGCACGGTCGGTAGTGCAGCGCATCAATCCCTCCACCAATACACTCCGACCCCATCGCCGGACTGGCTCTCCAGCTGACGGTACAGCTCCCCTGTGAACAGAGCAGAGACACGTCTGAGGTGGACACCTCACACACAGACAGACACACAGACAGCGGTACAGCCATGTCCACACACCGCCGGACAGTGACGTCACACACAGGACAGACGGCTGACGTGACGTCACCGTCGGCCGTGGTGGCCGTGACGCGTCACGTCACCGTCCGTGACGTGGCCAGCGGCGGTGGTCGAGTGTGTGTCTGAGAGGCCGGTGGCGCCGTGCAGCGTCTGTTGTGAGGGACTGACTGGTCAGAGGCGCGGCGCGCGGCGCCCTCTCACCTACCGGGGACACTGAGACGGATGGTACGGGTCCAGCCATTACTGTCCCGCAGGTCCGCCTCCTTCAGGGCGGTCAGCACGGCCCGGCCGGTGTCTGCCGTGCAGTGAAGGTACAGATGGCACAGCTTCCGACACGACTTCACCAGTCTGTAACAGAGCAGAGCAGCAGAGCCGTCACACACAAACACAGCGGCACCAGCCGGCCGGACGTACGAGTCAGTGTCAGTGTCAGTAGTTCAGTGTCGGTGTGTTGGTGTCAGTGACAATGCGTCGGTGTCACTGTGTCAGTGTCAGTGTGTCAATGTCAGTGTGTCTATGTCAATGTGTCAGTGTCAGTATGTCAATGTGCCTGTGTCAGAGTGTCAGTCATTGTGTCATAGCCGGTGTCAGTCAGTGAATCAGTGTCAGTGAGTCGGGGTTAGTATGCTGATGTCAGTGTCAGTGTGTCAGCGTCAGTGTGTCACTATCAGTGTGTCAGTGTCAGTGTGTCACTATCATTGTGTCAGTATCAGTGTGTCAATGTCAGTGTGTCAGTGTCAGTGTGTCAGTGTCAGTGTGTCAGTGTCAATGTGTCAGTGTGTCAGTGTCAGTGTGTCAGTGTCAGTGTGTCAGTGTCAGTGTGTCAGTGTCAGTGTCAGTGTCTGACAGGACACCCCTCGCCAGTGTCTGCTGACTGACCTGGTGACCGCTGCTGCTGTGAAGGCCGTCTCTGCCGGCCGCTGGCGGTCCCCCAGTGTAAGGAACAACAGCCCGGGGCAGCCGCTGAGACTGTCCAGCACGGAGTCAGGGACGCCGCCGGACAGGGTGAGATACTGCAGCTCAGGGCACCTGGTGAGGGGCTCCAGGCTCACGGTGTCAGGGACGCCGCCGGACAGGGTGAGATACCGCAGCTCAGGGCACCTAGTGAGGGTTTCCAGGCTGCCGGTCGTGAGATCAGTACAATCTGGAAAACACACAGACACATATACAGACAGGATCAGTTGGCTGTAATATATGTCAATATATGGAAAAAAACGAAACAGCTATGAATTCGCATGGTTTTATGGACACAGACGATGATATAACAATGGTACCTACTTGCTCTCTAATCGTAACAATGCCTGCATTCCCGTGCTGGCCGCCTTCGATCGTGGCGACACCTATACTGTGTATAACCGCCGCGCCAGGGCCGCGGCCAGTCGGGGCCAGTCAGTCTGCTCAGACTCGTCGTCAGCGAGCTCTCTCTATGTAGTCAGTCAGTGTCAGTTGTCGATCAGGCGTGCGTTCGACATCCGGAAAATGAGGGATAATTATCCCGGATCACCGGTAATAATTTGGTATTGCAAGGACTATCGATGCAAAAAGTCATATTTTTATATTGCTTTTGCTTCAGTAATGGCTCTTTTACTCATTGGCATGTGCGTTGTGCACGGTGTCAGCCTAAAACACCGAATGATCCCGTTGATCCCGGAAAATTATCCCTGATTTTCCGGATGCCGAATTCGCACTAATACTCAATACTTTTGTTCGGAAATTTGCTGCTTGTGACAATGCAACTATCGCTAGTACCTCAACTTTTAAATCACCCCGTGACGTTACACTAATATTCCACGCATATGCCACAAGCATGGACACTATCGAAGGGCGTGCATTGAACCCCTTCCCCCTCTCACCACAATACGAGACGAGTAATATACACGATTAACGACGAAACTTGCTAGTTGAGGCTGATCAGTTCGTCCATTTGCCGTCTCCCCTGTTCATTTGCATATACCAGCATTACATGTGTGATCCGTGGTATATCACCTCTGACATTGAGGAGTATGAGGCCCTCCGGCAGCTGCCCCCTCAGTCGCGGAAGGTCGGCGGCGGTGACTGATAGGCATCGCAGCTCAGGGCACCTGGTGAGGGGCTCCAGGCTGCCGGCCGTATGATCAGTACAATCTGGAAAACACGCAGACACACATACAGACAGGATCAGTTAGCTGTAATACATGTCGATATATAACAAAACGAAAAAACACCTAATTCACATGGTTTTATGGACACAGTAGACAATGGTAAAACAGTGCTATTATATGATATATGCAATCAGTTCAGCAAATGCATTGAACTTCATTGAACAGTGCAACACGATTGTTATGAGTATGATCAACTAACTCTGAACGAATATGTCACTGAGTGAACAGTCCTCCATTTTGGAGCTCAATTGGCTTCATTATTTCACAAAGCACATTGGCTATGTATCACTTCTGTCTCCATAAGGTCCGACAATGGCACACCGTTACTCGGTGGCCGCCATTCGCTGAGCCCGTATATCAGCGGCCTGTCCGTGCTGCCGCTGCTCACCGTATATCTCCAGTCGTGTGACCCTCCGTCCCAGGTCAGGCAGGTGACTGATGGTGTCGGCAGCCACCCCCTGGAGCGACACTAACAGACCGCCCCAGTACCATCCCGGCCACCTCGGCTCCGTCACCTCCGGCCCTGTCGGCCAGAGCTGTGTCAGCTGACTGCAGTCGGACAGAGCTGCCGCCAGCTCCCCGCTGCACTACTGACACCAGAGTGTCAGACACTGACACAGCCAGCACTGATACAGCCGAGCGGCAGCACAACAATGCCTAGCAACAGCAGTTGACTTGCAGTCATATGTAGAATGTAAATATGAATATATAAAGTATATGCGATAAGTATATGCGTGATACAGTAGTCTATGAAACTACTTTATATATGCAACTACCAGTGGTTGCGCTGTAATCATTCCTCATTGGAACAACTGCCTACTAACTGTAACCATGCCTGCATTCCCTCCCGTGCTGGCCGCCTTCGATCGTGGCGCCACCTATACTCTGTAACTGGTTCAGTTGTCATGGAACCACTCTGTATAACCGCCCCGCCAGGGCCGCGGCCAGTCAGTCTCGCCAGTCTGCCAGGGCCTCGGCTAACATGTTAACTACTGGGGCAAATGCCCCAGTAGAGTCGAGACTCGAGGAATGCCCCAGTAGTGGTCAGGCTTTGCCCAACCTCCACAAAATGAGAATACATCAATATTAACGCACATTCTTTCATTCAGGAGCGGTTGAAGACGTTTATGGCAAGAAATCAGGGGCGGCGGAAGAGGGAGTGCACGGCGTGCAGCTGCACCCTCAATGTCTATCCAAAAACATAGGCGTGCATTGGATATCTTTTTGCACCCCATAACCCATCTTCATTCGAAAGAGCGTCAAAAATAATGACGAAATTACTTCGGGCACTTTTTTGGTCAGGTCAAAGGTCAGGTCATGGTGAAGGCCAAATTTCGCCGATTTTCAGGTCGAATATCGACAGTTTACAAGATGCCGACGCATAACTCGGGAACCAATTAGAGCTACAGCACCGCGGAAAAGCGCATTTGATAGCCATTTTATGATATTAGCATGCTTTCTGGTTATTTCTCTTAGATTTGACCTAACGTCAACGGTTTTGCCTGCAAGGGGCAGAAACTACCAAAATAGAAGATGTCATGCCTTGCACGAGCTTTTTTTTACCGACATCGTGTTCCTCTCGTCAAGACGCATCAAATTAACTACAATTTCACCTTGAAGGTCAACGTGGAAATTCGACCTCAGGTAAGGTCATGATCTGACCGGAAATTGTCATGTTGCATATCAATCGATCTGCATCGTCGAACCAAACACAACTAAGGCATTTTCATCGCTCTAGCATGCCTCTTTCAAGTTATTCGCGAAAAACTGTTAGATACCATAAACCATTCGTGAACTGAGATGACCTCAGAGGCATATAAACAAGGGTCACGGGTGCTATTTTCATGTTCAGTGTGTCAAAGTCACGTACAGTGTTTTATAGTGTTTAGAACGACTTTCGTCCAAAAGAGGTGGTTTTGAATTTTTCCCATTGACTTATAATAGAGGTCGCAAAATTGAGCTGACCTTAGGTCCCCGATATGAAAATTCCGAGATATAAATTTTGTACATGCTGTTTCCCTTATCAATCGCTGGAAGTTTCAAAGCGATCGGTCACTCGGTGTAGCTACGGCATTCATTGAAACATTTTATGAGGTGAGGTCACTTGAAGTGACCTGGTGACCTGATCTTGAATGACCTTGGTCTGAAATTTTACAACACGTGTAGAAGTGATGGATGTTGGAGCGCCGCCGTTTTTGAGATATCCGCGAAAAACCGCAGGAAAAACTGCAGGTGTTCAACCTCCCCCCCCCCCAGCAGGGCGCCAACACACTTTGACGATTTGCCCCAGTAGTCAAATTTCCTTAGCCGAGGCCCTGCAGTCTGCTCAGACTCGTCGTCAGTACGCTGTCTATGTAGTCTGTCAGTGTCAGTCGTCAACCCAGACTAATTACTTTTGTTCGGAAATTTGCTGCTTGTGACAATGCAACTATCGCTAGTACACCTCAACTTTTAAATCACCCCGTGAAGTTACACTAATAGGTATTCCACGCATATGCCACAAGCATGACTACTATCGAAGGGCATGCATTGAACCCCTCCCCCCTCTCACCACAATACGAGTAATATACACGATTAACGATGAAACTTGCTAGTTGAGGCTGATTGGTTCGTCCATTTGCCGTCTTCGCTGACCATTTGCATATACCGGCATTACATGTGTGACCTGCGGTATCTCACCTCTGACATTGAGGCGTCTGAGACCCTCCGGCAGCTGCCCCCTCAGTAGCGGGAGGTCGGCAGCGGTGACTGATAGGTCCTGCAGCTCACGGCACCTGGTGAGGGGCTCCAGGCTGCCGGCCGTGAGATCAGTACAATCTGGAAAACACACAGACACACATACAGACAGGATCAGTTGGCTGTAATACATGTTGATATATGACAAAACGAAAAAACACCTAATAACTCACATGGTTTTATGGACCTAGTAGACAATGGTAAAAGTAAAACAGTGCTATTATATGATATATGCAATCAGTTAAGCAGATGCATTGAACTGCATTGAACAGTGCAACACAATAGGGTTGGGAACTCGATTTTTGAAGAATGTATAGAAATGATCAGACTATTTTTGCAGAATTTATGGTGCATACAGTTTCCTCATAAAAGCATTATGCTGAGAGAAATGGGGGAAGACAGAAAGAAAACATATTTTTTAAAGTTCTTGAAAAAGACGCTCTTGATGCTGTTACGTCACATGTCACCTTCTGCGGTTGACAAATAATGGCGCATCTGGCGCACCACCGATCACATGTTATTTCTATATGTGAAAGAGGTTGTTTGTTTCACTCTGCCATTCGCGCTGTTTTTAGCTTTAAATTATGCTAAAGCATTCACGAATGAAAGTTTCAGTGTCAAAAATTGATGCGTCTGCCGTGTACTGTTCCCATTTAACATTGAGCGCGTGGTAAACATTTTGTGAACCTCGAATTTTCAAATGAAAAACATGATGAATCGGAAGATGCTGAGGCCTCTTGCACCAAAATACCTAGCTAGGTAGAATCGGCAAAATACCTACCTACCTAGTAAAACTACCTACGGCGGTAGCTTCTCTTGCACCATCCTACCTACCTACCTAGGTAAATTTGACAACTCGCGTTTTTAGGATTTGTTTTGATTGGCTGTTTGGCGACGAATTATTTGTGGGCGCAAACAAATATTAACTTAAGAAAACAATTAAATGGATATTGTTTTTATTAATATACATTTTGGTATTATGAAATCATTTTTTATTTACGTAAATACCGATCGAAGTTATTTTGATGTTAAATTACTTGAACAGATAAGTTTCGTTTCCATGGCAACGAGTGAGTCTTGCACCTGGCTGTTCTGCTGCGGAGGTTTATCGCCTTGGTATGGAGAAGCACCTCTGTGAACCCATGGAGCATTTGGTCAATTATATTATTATTCACTCATAAAACATTGATTTATCATTGTCTAAACATTTTGTAATGCCTAATTTACATAAACGTACCCGTGGATTATCATGTATTGTGCCTATTGTTGCTAATTGAATCATTTTACCTAAGGTTTTGCTAGTTATTTTGGAAGCCCGCGTTTACTGTCAAACCGTGAACAATTCCTCCGCGAGTACTTCTTTCCGGCTTTCTGTGCAAGAGGAAAACAGCCAGTCGGACTTTAACAATTGGTAAGTTGTTATGCCGCTCGGTAGAATTTCTTGGTAAATTTTCACGGTAGCGTTTTTTGGTAGGTAGTTTGGTGCAAGAGAATCTAGGTAAAATCTGAATTTACCTAGGTAGGTAGTTTGGTGCAAGAGGCCTCTGAAGGGCAAAAGCCTTTCCAATACGCATTTGGCCTAATTTACAATTAAAATTTTAACATTTCTCTAATCTTATTAATAATTGCTTTGTTCTTTTTTCATAAAAATAAATTAAGGCGTTGAGAACCGAGGTAATTTCTATCTACCGTGCCTTAACTTACCAGCAACAGCAACCTATCTACGCCCTACGGTGGCAAGGGAGACTGTGAAAGAAGCGTAAGATGGATTCTAAACAATTATTTTGTGATATACTGAAGGGCAAAGTGCAGAGAAAAGCGTACAAGTCCTGTTTTGTGTCAGGCTGTTGCAGTAGCACTTATGAAACTCCGAAAACGATCTTCGTTTATGTCCCGAACAACATCACCCTGAGGAGATGATCGTCTGCAATAGCAAGAAGAGCTGATGCAAGTACTTTGAAATCCACTATCAAGTCGGAGATATTGTAATGATCACTGTGAGGTGAGATATTTTGTGCAAGGGCTGAGTGTAATGCCCAGGAGATGACCTCCATTCGCCCCCTGACCGGTCAGGGTTATAAAATTTGAGTGGATGGCGGTCCGTTTGGGGTTCAGAGGCCTCTTGCACCAAAATACCTAGCTAGGTAGAATCGGCAAAATACCTACCTAGTAAAACTACCTACGGCGGTAACTTCTCTTGCACCATCCTACCTACCTACCTAGGTAAATTTGACAGCTCGCGTTTTTAGGATTTGTTTTGATTGGCTGTTTGGCGACGAATTATTTGTGGGCGCAAACAAATAGTAACTAAAGAAAACAATTAAATTGATATTGTTTTTATTAATATACATTTTGGTGTTACGAAATTATTTTTCATTTACGTAAATACCGATAGAAGTTATTTTGATATTAAATTACTTAAACAAATAAGCTTCGTTTCCATGGCAACGAGTGAGTCTTCAACCTGGCTGTTCTGCTACGGAGGTTTATCGCCTTGGTAAGGAGAAGCACTTCTGTGAACCTATGGAGCATTTGGTCAATTATATTATTATTCACTCATAAAACATTGATTTATCATTGTCTAAACATTTTGTAATGCCTAATTTACATAAAAGTACCCGTGGATTATCATGTATTGTGCCTATTGTTACTAACTGAATCATTTTACCTAAGGTTTTGCTAGTTATTTTGGAAGCCCACGTTTACCGTCAAACCGTCAAAAATTCCTCCGCGAGTACTTCTTTCCAGCCTTCGGTGCAAGAGGAAAACAGCCGGTCGGACTTTAACAATTGGTAAGTTCTTGTGCCGGTCGGTAGAATTTCTAGGTAAATTTTCACGGTAGCGTTTTTTGGTAGGTAGTTTGGTGCAAGAGAATCTAGGTAAAATCTGAATTTACCTAGGTAGGTAGTTTGGTGCAAGAGGCCTCAGATGTCAATTGTATTTTGTTACTGTCAAACAATACATGTTATGCTGGCAGCGAATGTGTGTAACGTCGGTTTTCGAAACAGAAGTTTGAACTGTAACGGCAGAGTGCTTGCTGGTCTCATCGTAAGTATTGTAACAGCATTGTAAGCATTGTCAATATTGTAAGTATTGTGAGCATTGATGTATGGTAATTGGTAGATATCACCTCACATGATCTCGCCCTCAGATAACCCTCTCCGTTGTCCCTGTCAGTAAATGGCACCTGGATCATTACAGATTAGATAATTTGTCATAATTCTTAAAGAATTGGGCGGTTTTGACTCGTTTACTCGAGGCAGGTCGCATTTCAATATTTTTTTTTCATAGGCTTGCAATGTAAAGGTCACGACTCTGACCTAACCTCAGGTCACAGATAAAAAATTCTGAGATATACAAACGACACATACTGCAGGTACTGTTTTGAAGACTTGATGAGAGGAAATAACTTCGTGAAAAACTCAAGCTCTGACGTGATTGCAAACTTTTCTGAGGTGGGGTCAACAAACCCGCTCTGGTTACCTGACCTGACCTGACCCGTCATTTTTTTTTTTTTGCTGAGATGTGCGCAATGAGCCTTTAGGAAAAGTCACCAAATATGAGCTGAATGTCTCGCGGCGTTTGACAATTGTACAAGAAAATCCTGAAAGGCCTCCCCCGTCCGAAATAGGGTTAATGTGTATATGAAGAGTTGCAGATGCTAAACATACCCAGATCTAAGACTGCAGTTCCCAGCGCCGCTGCAACGTTTTTAAAACAAACATACATACATATAACATACAAACATGTTTATTTGCCTCTGTTTTGAATAATAGCAACTCATGGAGCCATCACCCGCGAGAACTGTTAGGATTTGAGATATATTTTTATTTAGACCATTAGTTTGGCTGTAATGTTTATTAATATTAGTTGGGCGGAGTTTGGTAGTTTTTTATTTAACTTGTGGTATGTTGTGCTGATTGCGGGTTGTTCAAACCTTTCAAATGTAAGGACCTTATTGAGCTCAACCCTACCCCTACACTACCCTCTGGACATTTTCCAAGCCCACAAGCATCACGACGCCGAGATGGCATGTAGCCGGGAAATCACCCTCGCCATCTGCTCTAGAGCTAATCGGTGTGGGGCGGCGTGTGGGGCGCCGCTTAGCCTATGGGGGTGCACTTCTAGTGGATGGGGGACGGGGTGCACCTGCACCCCTTTCATATGGAAAGTTACTTCCCTGATTACAGCTCTAGAGCTAATCGGTGTGCTAATCGGTGAGCTAATCTAGAGCTAAACTTCCCTGATTACAGCTCCCCGTATTGCACCTAATCAGGGAACGGCCAGCAAATGAAGGAACTATTTCTGGATGACAGGCGAATAGCCGCTCACGCAAGGAGCGGAGCTCCGCCCCGTCCAAAGTGGCCAACAAAGCAGAGACAGAGGCAGTATCACATCTTCCATCAAAGAACTGGCTTCTGACTTGGAAGATGAGCTCCATCTTTGCATCTGAGTCGGTGCTGTCAGGAATCAGCTGGTCTAATGGAGTGAGACGACTAGCCATCGTATCAGAGCTGCCTGGTCCTCGTAGCATTTGCACCGATTCTTCTCGATTGGACTCTGAATTATGTCCCTCCTGCGTATTACTTGAGGCATTGCTATGTAGCTAAGTCTTTGGCAGTTTCGTTATCCATGCTTTGCAAACAGTGCCATAACAACGCAGTTAATTAATCACCAAGCTTCTTTGCAAGCTCCAATACAGTTGAATCGCACGCGATTTGAGTGCAAAAATCAAGAAAAGTGCCAACTTGTTCCCGTAAAATATTTTGAATATTGACCTAGAAAATGAGTAATTTCCAGATAAAATAACAGCGGAATCAGTTTTCGCCTGCCAATAAAACTCACAGATATTGAAGCTCCACTATTAACCCGCGCACCGACGGGGGTCTGCGCCAACTTCGCACCGACGGGGGGGGGGGCGGATGACCGCCCCCCTCCCCTGAGATCTCGAGAACGAAGCAAGATAGCGACAAGAGGTAAACGGCATCGGATACGCACGGCCGAGATCTACAATTTTTACAAAGGTCATTTTCAGGTCAGGTCAAAGATGACGTCACAGGGGTCGAAAAGGTCAAAATGGCGGCGCTAGATATGGAGAGAGTTTTTCTCGAATAACTTTCGAATTAGTCAAGATAGGAACAAACTAAGGGCATCATCGTGATCCTCTCGTCAATCCGCATCGAATGATATATATGTTGACCTCGAAAGGTCAAGGTCAAAGGTTGACCTCAGGTCACGTGACCTCGAGGTCATCATGTATATCATTCGATGCGTCTTGACGAGCTGAACACAATGAGACCATCCACGCGTCTGTATCTTGTTCCTGTACGGAGTTATTGGCCAAAAACCTTTGGTGACCTTTGATGACGTCACATGACCTCACAGCTGCCCAACAGCAAAACAGACCTCAAGGTAGTGAAGGTTGATCGTATATGAAGTCATGTATGGTATATGGGGCCATTCCGACCCGTTTTAGTGGTAAAAACAGGGAGTTGATTTTTCCCCCATTGACTTATAATGGGGCGGTCGCGAAATTGACCTGACCTTAGGTCACCGATATCAAAATTCCGAGATATACAAATTGTAGCTACTAATGACCTAATAATATCCTGCGACTTTCAAAGGCCTCCGACATCTACTGTAGCTCTGGCACGGTGACAAAGTTGCAAAAAAGTGACTTGAGGTTGGGTCATTCAAAGTGACCTGGTGACCTGAGCGCTATTGCATAAACATAAGATTTACTCCACCGGAGTAGATCGTAACTTTTTTACGAAACGGCCATACTCTACGAAGCACCGTAAAACCTGTTGCATAAAGGCCGTGACCTACTTCGTAAATATTTGGAAAATCTAGGTATGACGTCATACATGAATGAAAATAGTGCCGGATCTCATCACGAAATGCAGAAGAATGGTGACAATAATGAAAGTGATTAAAGTCCCAGTGTACTGAAATGTGTGAATCACGTTGTGTGGATAAGTGGTTCAAATCACCTTGAATTGATAGCGACTTTAGAAAACCTTTCGTACTTTTCAATATTCATGCGCCGTCCCACATCAAGCGGCGGTCGGCTTGGTAAACAACATCGATCGCGGCATCTTGGGAGTGTGGGATATTCTAAGATCATAAATAATTTGCCCTCGCTATGGGTTTCAGTCGATATTCTACATAAATTTGCATAGAACTGAGTGCACTGCATCCGTCTAGAACAGCGCCGTAGCTGCTACTGCCACCTTTCGCCAATTAACCCTATTAGTGGCAGGCTCCTGGCTACCCCTATTAGTGGCAGGGGGGGGCTGTTTACGACCCCCCCTTGATATCTCGAGATCTAACGGGCCGATTTTCAAAATTCAAACGGCATTCGATTTCGCTCAACGTGATCTACATTTCTAAAAAATAAAAATTAAAAAATGTCAATAGGGGGGGTAGAGGGGGGTAAAAACGGGCAAATTGCAGATACATTTTAGACTGTTTATCACGGCCAGGTTTCTGAACCAATCTTAACGCAACTTTTGCCGATCGATAGAGAATGAACCAGGAATTCACATGGATCCTAAAAATATGCATTTTCAAAAATCATAGGCGGATACAGATCATTGAGATTGGGGGTACACAAAAAGTATAGTAAATAAGGTTTTTGTTGGTACTCTTTCTAAAAAGGGTGGTAATGGTCTTGTTATGTTATAATTTTCTTATGAGAGAACGACTAAAATTGTATTGGTAATGCATAGGCGGTGTCAGGGCACCTATGTTGGGAGGTAAAACATAACCCCCCTTTTTGGACGCCTGGATCCGCCTATTATAGCAAAAACGTGTCAAAAGAGGATGCACAATAACTGTATATGTTATCACATGATACCTTTTATTCACTGTTCGTAAAACTGGTGCAGCATCGTGATCTTCGCCCAAATGACTCGCTTCACGAATAGGACCCCCCAATTTCCAGTGCTCTGGAGTCGCCCCTGGTAAAGTTATGAACTTGAAATTTTCAGGGAATGTGCCCAATTTAGTTTTAGGAAAAGTCAGAAAATTTCAGCATCGTAGCTTCAGCGGTTTCGGAGATATTCCCGAAAAACCTGAGGGGTGGATAAAAACAACCCCCCCCTGCCACTAATAGGGTTAAGTAAGCTGAGATTTGTACACTCGCCGTCCGGTGGTTGCTAGGTAGGACACGAAAGTAAACAACATTCCAAAGAAGAATTTCAAGCCGTTTGGAATGCAAGATCGAGCAAGATCATCATTTGGTGGCTGAAAATGAAGAATTAAGATAACCAGGGCCCAGAGACAAGTAAGTTTTCTATTATAGCGAATTTGGTTAGTGAACAATTGTGGGTTCATTGGCGGCGACAGTTCATTGCACAGTGCACTGCTCACTGCTGGTAGCCCTTTCAGACCAATCGTGAGCTTTTTCAATAGTTAATGGTTAAAGGTAATGCTGCTACAATTCCTGAACTATATTTTCTTTTGGTGTATTTTGAATTTGGCATCGTGTTTATTAGCCTCAGCAGTCAGCCCTCAATTACTCGCGACATTCCAATGTTCTGTCGCTTTTTTCTTCACCATTATCTACAATTAGGTATGTTGAAATGCCATATCATATTGATATGGTGTCTAATCAGTAAAATCATCTAAATATCCACAAAATTACGTTTAATTATATATTTGCAAGCAACAAGCCTTCTTGCGCTGAATTAGTAGGCACAAAACGGAATGCATAAGCTAGGTATTACAAGATGTAGGTACATATACCTACCTATTCGTCTGTGGGCTTGCATGATATTTTTCAGTTTCAAACGTAAGCATTAAGATTTAAGGGCATATCAGCATAGCATCTAGACACCTACTGGAGTATTCTGAGTCTGCCAGTGAATTGCTTATTACTTTCAATTCACTGGCTGTAATTAAATGGCTAATAAAATTTAATTAAATGGCACTGGCTAAAATTGGCTTTAAAAAGTCAACTTTGCACTAGTATAGCAGGGCACAGACCTCTATGCTTGCATTCAAAGAAGTCTGAGAGGGAGGAGATACATGGTGTCATAAAAAGTTCATTATTCGCTCGATTTACTTTTTCCGCCCCTGTCTATGTATTGCCTCTTTGCTGATTCCCTCAGTCCTGTCCTCTCTCCTATTTCATGCTCTGTCAGCCACTTTGCCTTCGAAAATGATCTCCTCTCATTCCATTCGTTCTTATCTTTCTGGTACTTACCGACATCTTTATTTCTGTTTCAGGAATTTCTATCCGACTTCGTGGAGGAGTCTTCTGACCACGGTATTCGGCTGTTCTACATGAAGCTTGAAGAATCCCGCTGGGTTCAGCCGACAGAGGGCTCTGATAAACCGCCGATAGATGGCGGATGCTACGCCAAGAGTCACTACCTTCGTTGAAATCGTCATATCAGCAGCGTCTTATCCCGGTGTTGGCGCACTCGGGAAAAGTGAGGCTGTGCAAGCTCAGCATCATTTGTTCCTTTTTTAAAGAAGCGCTCTGCGTGTTACGATTACAGTGACATGTCAAGTTTACGTGGATCTCTAGCTCAACTTGAATCGCGGCCGTATTGGTGCACCGACGTTAATCTCTGATGTGCATACGTATTAGAATCTGAGGCGAGTGTGTTTGGATGTTCACTAAAATAGTCAACGGAATGTGGGAAACACAAATAAACATCGACACGGCTGATATGTTTGATGACTAATGCGTCTGCAGTTCCTCAAACGAGCTACGAGCGTGCTTTAACGTCAGTCACCACCGTTGTAGTACGATTGTCAGGAACGACCATGCTTATGTCATGCTATTGCATTGGTTGAGAAATGAGAGGTGCGGTTGCAGTCTTTCTATACATTGTTCGAGGATAAGAAAGCATCAGTGTGTAAAGGAGTTACCTTCATGTGCATTCTTAGCTGTATAAGGACTCAAAAACTTGGAATTCGGCGTCAAACAGCTGCAATAGCCGACATTTGGCTAAAATCTACGGAGCCCACCCCCTCCGTAGAATATTTTACGATTTCTACACATTTGGTGCATCTGCGACATTTTCTGCGCGCTTCGGCGAACTACTTTTTCGTAAATCGTAGGTTTAATGCAACAGAAACCCCCAAAAGTTACGTCACGTGCTGGAGTAAATTCCTTGCTCTCCGTACTATTTTCAAGACCTTTGTGAAACAGATCGGCGTAGAATAAGTACGATTCTAAGACAATTCGTAAAATATCTGGTGCCGTAAGTTTTATGCAATAGCGCTCTGACCTTAAAAGGTAGGAAGTTCAAACTTGCACACCATGTGTAAAATTGATGAGGTTATAGTCATACCAAATTTCGCGGCGCGTAGCGCCACGGTTTTCCCTCTATTCGCGAAAAACCTCAGGGGGGGGGGGGCGGATATCCGCCCCCCCCCCCGTCGGTGCGCGGGTTAAAGGAACATTTTTGTATATGTCATTCTTGATAAAACTTCTTAGCCACGCAATACCAGCGCAAAATAAAGAGACACTGAATAAACGACCAATCACTCCGATTTACCATAGGGAAATACATAGAAAATGTATGCCTCAACTGCGCCAAATATACAGACAGCTATATACCTACATGTGACGTCATGATTAGCCCGACCAATCAGAAGCAAGTTGTTTTCAGTCACAATTAATTAATTTTTGAGCTAACTAGGCATTTTTTTTTTAACAAATTGATTTTAAATTAAATCATTAAAAATTCTGAGCTTTCTTATTTTACCAAAACATACAGAGCATGCAGATAGGTCCCAACCCTATTGCTATGAGTAGGTATGATCAACTAACTCTGAACGAATAGGTCATTGGTTGTACAATACTCCTCCATGTAGGAGGTCGATTGGCTTCATTATTTCGCAAAACACATTGGCTATGTATCGCACCTGTCTCCATGAGGTGCGACAACGGCACACCGTTACTCGGTGTCCGCCATTCGCTGAGCTCGTATATCAGCGGCCTGTCCGTGCTGCCGCTGCTCACCGTATATCTCCAGTCCTGTGATCGTCCGTCCCAGGTCATCCAGGTGACTGATGGTGTCGGCAGCCACCCCCTGGAGCGACACTGACAGATCATCCTCGTTCCATTTCGGCCACCTCGGCTCCGTCACCTCCGGCCCTGTCGGACAGAGCTGTGTCAGCGGACTGCAGTCGGACAGAGCTGCCGCCAGCTCCCCGCTGCACCACTGACACCAGAGTGTCAGACACTGACACAGCCAGCGGCTGCACAACGATATTTTTATCAAGAGGGACAGCATTACGCGCAGCGTAATAAGTCAATTTTCATTGCAATCGGCCCAGTAGCGGCCGAGTTATTGCCAGAATAAATTTGGCGTCTCCTCTTGGCCGGCGGTGCCCTGCGCCGGTGTTCATTGCCAAAGGTCAGTGACCTTCCGGCTCTGATTTCGCTCAGTTTTGCAAGCGAAGAAACTGAGCCTAATGCGCGTGCACACTGCTCGGCGACGGCCGCGGCCCAAAATGCCGCAAAGATGCGCCCGCCACGTGCAAACCGCTGCACGCACCCCCTCGAAAAGTTGATACAACAAACAGATGCACGCGTCCGACTTACGTTCAAAATTTCACCCCCGTAGCCCGCACCGTTCCACAGCAATAGCCCGCCAAGCGTGACGGACGCGTCACATACATACATACATACATACGGACATTTTGACATAACAGCAGTGGCGCAGCCAGAACTCTGGCGACGGGGGTGAGAGACGTTCCCGATGGGCCCCCCAGCAAAGTGGGCCCCCCTCAGCCTAATAGGGGCCCCTTACCAACAACGAAAGGTCAGATCATAGTCCTGATCATTACACGCGAAATCGGGGGAAAGGACAAATATCTCTTGATCATGGGCGCCGCCACCGGGGGGGACGGGGGGGACGCGTCCCCCCCACTCTCAGAATGGAAGGGGGACGTCCCCCCCAAACTCATGACGGAGCGAGCGAAGCGAGCTTAGTCTTTCGTAGATAACGGAAATTTCTGAGTACATATGAGCGGCCGGCACGCTTTTGCGAGGCTTATATCTCATCAGCCACTTGACCGAATTACATGCCATAATTTTCGGTAGGGTAGCTTTATTCCTTCTAACAAGTGTTGGACTATTCCCGATGCATGTGGGTGACCCCTTATGCACGTGCCACGTGAAAAAATGAAGAGGTGTCAGTTTTGTAACAATTGCAATATCTCGGTAACTACTGGGCCGATTGCGCTGAAAGTTGGCATGTATAGGTAGGTACCCACTAGGCAATGCATATTCATGTGCTACAGTTGGGGTGCTGCTGCACGTGCGCACGTGCAGGGGTCGATTCCAGATCTCGAGAACGGCTGAACCGATTGTGCTGAAATTTGATACATGGTTAGGGACCGGTTAGTAGGGTACCGTGCAAATGTCAGTTGGGACCCATTTTGCACGTGCGCACGTGCAGGGTGCCGCTTCCAGATCTCGAGAACGGCTAGGCCGATTGCGCTCAAATCTGGCACATCGTTAGGGACCGGTTAGTAGGGTGCAGTGCACAAGTTAGTTGGAGGTACCCCCTTGCAACATCGCACGTGCAAGGCCCACCCTCTCGCTCGCTCCGTTGGTCGCCTCAAAAGGTGTTTTACTGGTTGTTATCCATACTCGAAATTTGCTTAGGCCCTTCTGTCCAATGAGACCATTTCAGAGCCGGAAGGATGAAAGAATTAGTGGGAGACATTGGTCTGGGCAGCCACCCCAGTGAGCCACAATTGGGCTGAACCCGACCAATTGAACAGGCAGCCCAGCCCACTGGCATTCACTGCACCCGGCAAAGGACTATAGCTCCAGTGGAGCCATTCCTGCATGGGATAGTTGCCCGTCCAGCCCGGAGCAGTGGGTTGCGGCGTGGAGGAGAAGGATTTGACTGTCCTGAGGATGGAAGAGATAGAGCGGTGCCGAATCTGAGAGGGTCCAGGAGGTTTACATACTCAGTATATGGGGTGTGGGCCTACATGCATTGGTCTGACCCCTGACACCTCGGCCAACAAAATATCCAGCTCTTGTCCGACCTGTCATCGCGGAACTGCCGATTTTTGATATCGTGATCAACGTGTGTCGTATAACACGACTGGCCGAAAATGGGCCTAATATATTTCGTCAAACCAGCCAAGAGAGCATGACTTTAAACCAATCCGACATCGGAGTCAAAATCCGAACAATTTCGAAGACTTCAACTCCGACTCTAGCCAAAACTATCAACTCCGACTGATTCCGGCTCCGACCCCACAGTTCTGCAGTCACTCGACACTAAATTTCCAGCTTCTAAGAAATAAGCTATACGGTTGAGAGGACAACAAAACTTTGAGGCGACTTGACTACTTCACTTGGTGACCTGACGTAAGGTTTTCTGGTATCAAGCTTGTTATACGGGCTGCAAAATCTGTATTTTGGAGCAGTTTTGCCTGATGTTTTTTGCCAATTTTCGCGGCGCTTCGCGCCGATTCATGCACAACCAGAAAAGAGAGATTGTTACTATACAACGCCCCCTCCCCCACGCGGGTATGCAATATGCATTTCCTATGCAATATGCATTACCGATCAGATTAGTGGCATACATCAGCAACTATAGCCTGATAGAGCACTGGAGGTTTTGCCTTGTCAAATTGAATCGGACATCGGATGTATATATATGTAGGTAGGTACTTGGTGGGAAATCGATCTATAGACATACCTACCTAAACTACTTTCCTCAAACCAGTTGTTTTGCCACATTTATGAGTTTTTATGCTTAAAATGGGCAGAAAATAACGTAATGAATATTTGCAAAGAGGATTTTATTTTATTTTTGCATAAGAACTGTTTTCCATCTTTCGTAGAGGCTACTTATATTGCAGCGGAAGCTGATTATACGCGTTGACCAAGCATACTCGTATTACGTAGTTCAAACCAGCTGAATGCTGATTGGCTAGCATTTTTCCGTAAGGGAATGGATTCCTCGGTAATGGAATGACAAAGTGTAGTCTATGGGAATGACTTCAGTCTTCAAACCTAAAATCGATACCGATATCTTTGGCTAGGGTGATTGTTGGGCCATAAAAGCTCTTGATTTGTTAATTCTTGTCTCAGCTCAAGCTACAAAACTGTTACGTCAGTTTAAAACCCCATGCTAAAAGTGGCATATTTGCTTTAAACGTTCAATACATCGGACCGAAAAAGCCACGGTAAAAATGTCTATTTTTGGGTTTTAAGTTGGTCAGTCCGTCCCCCCCCCAGTCAAAAATCCGTGGCGGCGCCCCTGCTCTTGATCTGAAGAGGCACGTAAAAAACAACAGCATATTTACAGAAACACGACCATTCTGCCCATATTTGATGGACAGCGTGCAATTGATGGCCAGCGGTCACTCAAATGGTCGGGCTGGGTCAAAAAGCTTTTAAAAAAGCTCAACATCAGTTTTTCGACTATTACTATCAGGTATACTTTTGATATAGGAGACGAGGTAGAGTAATGAAATTGTCTTGAATGTGTTGATCATCCATATGGATCAGTTGATGACCATCATGAACTTCTCAAGTAAGGGCATGACCTTGATCTGCGGTCACATTTGAAGTTGAACTTTTTATGTGAAATTATAGGTGTTAACGTAAAATGCGACTATTTAGATGGTTTTGCCCTCTGCTCTGTTGCCAAACCATTGACATGAGGCATTGAGGTCAAATCTTAAAAGCGAAAGCGTTTTAAAAAGCCTATCGAATGAGTTGTTCCGCGAAGCTCTAGCTCTTTGGTTCACGAGTTATACGGTTATTTGTGAAAATATAAAAACAAGAATTTTTTCGTCATAATCTTGTCTTTGTGTTTATCATAATTTTATCATTATTTCATCTTCAATGACCTCAGCGATGGCCTAATCGAAAATTGAAAAATGACCTGTACGATTCTGAAGCATCCTACAGCTATCTGTTGTTTTTCTCGTCTTTCTAGCCTTCTTAAATTATGATCGGGTTTGGCCGATAGCCCCCCCCCCCATGGCTGATTGCACTCGTTAGAGAGCTATCGAACCCACTTTCAGCGCGCTATAGCTTTATATGTCCTTGAGTGTCGAAATAGGCGACACTTTTCCTTCGATGAACCGATGATGACGTGGGCTTTGGTCTGAAGTGCAACATGACTGAAGTAATTTCTCCATGATTTTCGACGCTCTTTAGAAAGCCGCCTACCGCCGCACTTGTCGCTACGTGACCCTGGAGTCAGGTTAGAAGGGAATATTCAAACACCCCTCAGGGGCGTAAAACTGGAAAGCCTAGGGCCCTGCTCTGCGGGGCGCGGTCGAGCTATGCTTGAGCCAGTTCGGGATGTTTACAAGCCCACGTAAAGCACTCAAGAATCTGCATAGAGCACAGGCCTTCCAAGACTTGGGGGTTTAGGTATCAACAATCGACATGGTCTTTTGAGACCTGCGTGGTGGCTATCAGAGGTCGGTGGGCCCCTCAAAAGCCGGTGCAGGAGCCTCAGGTGTCAGTTTGTAGCCATCATGGACCGGTGTGGAGTCCTGATGAATACCTAGGCGTCAAACCCCTTGACGTCAGGGTGGGGTCGGGCGGTGAGGCAGGCACAGGTCTGAAGAGAAGAGGAATTTTCAGATGTCGGCTTGGCATCTTAGGGCCCTGCATGGCTTTCTCAGAGGCTGACATATCGTACTGCGGGACCTCCATGAGCCTCTAAAACCTCTATGGGCCCCCTCACGCTTGGGGTAGGCTTCCTGAAGCATAAAATCTCTGAGTCTTGAGATGGGCCCATTAGACATGAATGGGCCATCAATATACATGTGGTGAGTTGACCTATATCAAACATGATATCGGCTCAATCAGGATTGGGATAGGCCCTCTCAGACCCAGACCAGGCACGGAGTACGGACCCTCCCACACATAGGATGATCCTTTCATTCCTGGGATGTCTTCTCAGGCCTGAACTGGGCCCTCTCAGACCTGAAATGGGCCCCTCTCAGGCCTCAACTAGGTCCTCTAGGGCCTGAAATGGGCCCTCCCAGTCCCGACATTAGCCCTCTCAGACCTGAAATGGGCCCCCTCAGCCCGGAAATGGTCCCTATCAATTATCATGTCGAAAAAGGGCCCCTCATACCGTAACTGGGCCCTCTCAGGTCTGAAATGGTGCCTCTTATGTCTGAAACGGGCCCCTCTCAGGCCTCAAACGGGCCCTCTCTTGCCTCAAACGGCCTCAAACGGGCCCTCTCTGGCCTCAAACAGGCCCTCTAGGGCATGAAATATGGGCCCTCTCAAGCTTGAAATGGGCCCCCTCAGGCCTGAAATGGGCCCTACAGGCCTCAAACATGCCCTCTAGGGCCTGAAATGGACCCTCTCAAGCTTCAACTGGGCCCCTTCGGGCCTGAAATGGGCTCTCACAGACCTGAAATGGCCCTCTCAGGCCTGAAATGGGCCCTCTCAGGCCTGAAATAGCCCTCTCATGCCATGGAACGGGCCCTCCTAGGCCTTGGATTAGTTCAATCGGGCCTTGGATGTACCCTGTTAAATAATAAAATGGGACTATAACCCTCGCCCGCACATGCCATTTTCCCATCCTAGAACGCACATGGGGGGGGGGTGGTTGCCACCCCCCCCCTTCCCGCGCCATTTCGTTCCTGTTAGAGATAGAGCTTAGCAGTAAAAACCAAAAAGATTCTTTGGGAAGAGACGAATCCAATGATACCCAGTTTTACCTTCTCAGGTCAGTCATTGACCTTCCAGGTCAGGTCAAACTAAAAAATGTTGCTGTTTTGGGTCACCGTTGGATATCAAGTGCGCTGCTTATCAAATACCGATGACGATGCTGTTTTCTGGTGCCAAGCCAGCTAGAACCTCTTTGTCACACTATCCGACCAGAATTTTGCTGCTGAGGTCATTACAGGTCAAGTTAGGTCAAGGTGAATTATATGTGTTTGTATGTCTGTGTGTGTCTGTGTGTATACTGATGTGTGCACCGATTGTTTTTGGGTCCATATCACATGAAATCATGATCTGAGAAGCTTTTACCAAAAATGCAGTCAAAAAACTTCACAAAAAGTAAATTCCGCTTGCCTAAAACGCAATTATCTTAGATGACCTAGGTTGACCTTGACCCTGACCTTGACCCCTGTACATCGTCGAACAACATGTTCCATGATAGGTGGGAGGTAAGACTGGCAAAAAAGGCCGAAATCAGGGTGTCAAAAGCTCACAAGGCCCATGGCAAACGCAAGATGTTGAGAATTGGCCATTTGGGTCATGACATGACCTGAAAAACAAGGTCATATCTCCGAAACCAAAAATCACAGAAACTTGAAATTTTCAGTGGACATCAAGAAAGGATAGACGAGCAGCTATACGAAAAATCAGCCTTCTAGCTCTAAAAATGTTGAGTGCAGAGCAGAAAGACTGCCTGGGGGGGTGGCAACCACCCCCCCCCCCCATGTGCGGGCGAGGGATAAATCCTAAAGCGGGGCTATCAAGACTGAAAACTGTTTTTCAGTCCAATGACGGACCTTGACATTAGTGATAAAAAATTGTCAGGCTGCATAACGTTACAGTTCGAATCGACGGTGGGCCCCTAGGATAAGAGACGGGGGTGAGATCTCACCCCTTTCACCCCCCCTGGCTGCGCCACTGCATAACAGCATACATACGTGAATATGCAAATATGAGCAACATAAGTATTACGCAGGGGGGTGCCGTCCCGGCATTTGGAGCCGCCCAGGGGCCAATTGCATTACCCGGCGCGATTACGTCACTGGAGACCTGGTCTCCAACGGCTCTCATTGGTCGGTGCTTAAAACGCTGCAACGGCCATTAGGCTGCAAATTAACAGTATGTGTGTGCGCGCGCCTGCGTGCATGCGAAGCTTGTGTTGGTGCGTGCATGTGTTCTTCTGTGTGTATTTGCATATCCTTTTTAGTGACATTCATTGGGAATGCGCGCAAGGTCCATCTAAAGTGTTTACTGCAGTGCGGAACGTTCCAGTAATGCCTATAAATCGCACATCAAGGTTATAAAGAAGGCCCAAGCTGAGACATTTCATGATCGCTGAGCTCATGCAGTCTTGATCGACGAACCCGACTCGCTCGGACTCGTCTGACAGGAGGGGGAGGGTGGCGATACATTGGGTCTGAACCAGCCTGTCACCGGTCACTGGCTCTGGTGCCGGTGTCGCTGACGCTAGCTACGGTGGCCAGAGACGGTGACGGCTCGGAACCCAACTAATTGTTCATATCCACGTTTTAGGACAAAGTAAGATCGTCTTTATCGGACGGTTGGATTGCACACTGTCTCCAGACGCTGCTGATCGGAACGGCTGTTCTCATCTTATGCCGAGCAGAAGCGGACGCTGATTGTCGCCCCCCTCCAGCCCGACTGCTCTTGGGCCTCCTATAAGCTGCGCGCCGTGTAACACAACTCCACCTCCCTCACAGCCTCTGCATGCCCGCAGTTCAGCGTCGTGTCCAGCTCACCAGCCGTAACTCAAAACCGCACGCCAGCGGCGGTGTTAGTGTCACTGACCACGGCCCCCGTCGCTTTTACCGAAGGCGTTACCGAATCTGGGGGTGCTACTGCTAGGGTACATCGGTCATCCACGTGGTGTGATTCAGCCTCGCATATGTGGCACGTGTTTCCACGTATAGCCTCGGCCCGACCCATTAGTAGCTGCCGCACTATAGTGCGGCCTATAGGCTGACCGCTGGCACTCAGATCCCACAGCACCTCTAGTGCCCGGCTCGGCAGGACCCCTAGGTACTGGTTGACCTGACTTGACCTGACCCGACCTGGCCTAAATGCATAAAGACATCATCTGTGATCAAAACTAACGTGATATTCGTGATCAGCGCCCCGAAAAACCCCATAGCAGCCACCCTTTACGACGTTCTAAGAGGTCCCGATTTTCCCGACTTTTGGGTCATTGACCTGACCTGGGAGGTCATCCAATGACTTAGGACCTTAAAATTGGGCATCATCGGCTTGCTCTCTTTACGGGCAACACGCTCGTTCTTTCCGCGAATCTCTAGCTCAATCAGGGTCCAAACGCGAGGGGGGGGGGGGGTCGTAACACGCCAGGGCTGAAGGAATGGCGTTCGGGGATCGAGGAGCAGGCTACCGGTCCGAGGCCGCGAGCTACATTACAGTTAGGTGGGGCTGGCAGAGGGGTAGCCGTTCCTGTAAATCCATTAAACATAATGAATGTGTAATAGGTACTCGAAACTCCTTCATTTACGACGCCTCGCCGGGATGCCTAACCCTCATACATAACCATGCAGCGCCGCCGACCGTCGGAGCGCCGAAGTCTCCAGTGACGTCACGTAATGTTAAAGTTTTCGGGCGGCAAAAACCCCGGGACGGTTTTACCTTCTCTATACGGCCTTGAGTATTACGATTTTTGCAAGGCACATTGGCTTAGGCACTGGGCAGCCAGTCATGGTATAGTAACGGATCAGGTTGGTAGACTACATAAATATATGGTTCGCAGTGGTTGCAATGAAACCATTTCAAATTACCATAATTGCTACAATAATATTTCATGCATGCACTTGATGCTCACACTATATGCAAATGCATGCATTGCATCACTCTAACAATACCATATAAAGCGGCACTTGTTGCGCGCAAAGCAGCATATACCACCGCGTGCTACAAAACGTTTTAGTCAAACATTTAAAAATCATTAGATATCTGAGCTGACGTCACACATTCAGAGGGGTATTCCTATGCATTAGCCCCTCTGAATCAAAATGCTGCAATTTTGAAATTCAATATTTCCGATTTAAGGCATTTCTCGATGTTGTGAGTGCCGAAACCGGTAATTGTGAGCCAGGGACCCCATTTTGGCTATCTCAACTCAAATATAATGTTAAGGTGGGAGGGTCCCTTTAAAGCGAGCTCTCTATGTACCTAGTCAGTCAGGGTCAGTCGTCGTGTCAGACTAATAACTTTTGTTCGGAAATTTGCTGCTGGTGATAATGCAACAATCGCTAGTACCTAAACTTTTAAATCACCCCGTGACGTTACACTAATAGTCCACGCATATGCCACAAGGATGAACACTATCGAAGGGCATGCATTGAACTCCTCCCCCCTCTCAACACAATACGAGTAATATACACGATTAACGACGAAACTTGCTAGTTGAGGCTGATTGGTTCGTCCATTTGCCGTCTTCGCTGACCATTTGCATATACCGGCATTACATGTGTGATCTGAGATATATCACCTCTGACATTGAGGAGTCTGAGGCCCTCCGACAGCTGCCCCCTCAGTCGCGGAAGGTCGGCGGCGGTGACTGATAGGCATCGCAGCCCACGGCACCTGGTGAGGGGCTCCAGGCTGCCGGCCGTGTGATCAGTAAAATCTGGAAAACACACAGACACACATACAGACAGGATCAGTTAGCTGTAATACATGTCGATATATGACAAAACGAAAAAACACCTAATAATTCACATGGTTTTATGGACACAGTAGACAATGGTAAAACAGTGCTATTATATGATATATGCAATGTTAAGCAAATGCATTGAACTTCATTGAACAGTGCAACACAATTGTTATGAGTATGATCAACTAACTCTGAACGACTATGTCACTGAGTGAACAGTCCTCCATTTTGCAGCTCAATTGGCTTCATTATATCGCAAAGCACATTGGCTATGTATCACTTCTGTCTCTATAAGGTCCGACAATGGCACACCGTTACTCGGTGTCCGCCATTCGCTGATCTCGTATATCAGCGGCCTGTCCGTGCTGCCGCTGCTCACCGTATATCTCCAGTCGTGTGACCGTCCGTCCCAGGTCAGCCAGGTGACTGATGGTGTCGGCAGCCACCCCCTGGAGCGACACTGATAGATCATCATCCTCGTCCCGTTCCGGCCACCTCGGCTCCGTCACCTCCGGCCCTGTCGGACAGAGCTGTGTCAGCGGACTGCAGTCGGACAGAGCTGCCGCCCGCTCCCCGGTGCACTACTGACACCAGAGTGTCAGATACTGACACAGCCAGCACTGATACAGTAGTGTTGTTAAAAAAAAAAACGAATTTTGGAAAAGTATATGGGCTCATGGCTCATGTGGTGCGGTATTCTTTTTTGAGACCAATGATACCCTTTTTTCTAAAAAATATTAACTGTTAGGGGCTCCTCAAACGGCTTAAAGAGGACCATGCTACGCCCGCCGACCGGCCGGTGTCAATGAACTCGACGCCGCGCGCCGGCGGCAGCGCCTTATCGGCACCGCGCGCCACGACATCTGCCGGGCGGCCGGCTGGGCGGTGGGAAGTTATAAGTGCGTGGTCTTATTGCACACGATCGGGGTGAGCTATCCCATGTTTTCGGGGCGGAAAGTTTCAGTGCAGCATCGGTGCGTCTGCCACGGTAGTCTGTGTCGATGGTATAGAAAATAACTCAAGCAGAGCTCAGAAAAGAGTGAGTGATTCTGGGTAGTTACCTCGAAACAATCCGTTTTAAGAATACAGCTGCCTTCTTAACGTACCGTATCACTTGTTAATTCTTCAAAAAACAAACTCTGAGCAATAACACACCTCTTTGCATTGCTGTTGACAATTTACGTTAGTTTTTGACGGTGGCTCGCACCCCCAATATGCTGCCGCGCAATTTTATTCCAACGGCGAAACGGCAACTTCGCGAGAATCGAAAATTCACGATATACGTACAGCAGGGGCTGGCAATGCAGTATGCACAAGGACAGAATATGGAGGAGACCCGACAGTCATCGGCCCAAGTTTGGGGGTGGCTTTGACGAGCATAGGCGTCACCAATGTCATTATTCAGATACGTTGATGTCAGATGCTGGGGCAACAGAATCGACGCCAGGTGTAGCTTAGATTAGCGGGTCGAAAGAAAACATAACATGTCTGGGAATGACAGGGTGGCCACCCTGACAGTGTGACGAAGTGAGACATGAGTAGAGACATTCGCCGGAGTACCTACTCATATAAATGAAGCGCCGTTTATCCAATCCTTCGAGCATAAGCGACGCCGGCAGTCCGGCCAGGGCGGCCGTGCCCACCGATGCCGATCAAGACCCGAATCCAGACCCGGCATAGAACACAGCTCTGCCCTGACGTGACACATTACCCCGGTGTGTCACTCATGACGGATAGACCAATGCAGGAGCCTTGCCAGCTCCTGTTGTACCTACTTCGTTAAATTTTCGATTCTCGCTACGTTGCCGTTTCGTCGTTGGAATAGAGTTACGCGGCAGCATATTGGGGCTGCGAGCCACCGTCCAAAAGCAACTTAAATTGTCAACAGCAATGCAAAGAAGTCTGTTATTGCTCAGAGCTTGCTTTTTGAAGAATTAACAAGTGATACAGTACGTTAAGAAGGCAGCTGTATTCTTGAAACGGATTGTTTCGAGGCAAGTACCCGGAATCATTCAGTCTTTTCTGAGCTCTGCTTGAGTTATTTTCTATACCATCGACAAAGACTACCGTGGCAGACGCACCGATGCTGCACTGAAACTTTCCGCCCCGAAAACATGAGATAGCTCACCCCGATCGTGTGCAATAAGACCACGCACTTATAACTTCCCACCGCCCAGCCGGCCGCCCGGCAGATGTCGTGGCGCGCGGTGCCGATAAGGCGCTGCCGCCGCCGTGCGGCGTCGAATTCTCGCCCTTATTGACACCGGCCGGTCGGCGGGCGTAACATGGTCCTCTTTAAGCCGTTTGAGCAGCGCCTAGCAGTAATACTTTTCGAAAAAAGGGGTATCATTGGACTCAGAAAAGAATACCGCACCACATGAGCCATGAGCCCATATACTTTTCCAAAATTCGGTTTTTTTGAACAACCCTACTGATACAGCCAAACGGCTGAACAGCGCTATTTAGCACCAGCAGTGATATGTAAAATGTACATATGAACATAATAAGTAGATGCGATAAGTATATGCATAATACGTATACAGTAGGCTATGAAACTACCTATACGACTCTTATTGGTTGCACTACGTCTATAATCATCCCTCATTGGAAATAACTGCTCACTAATTGCAGCAATGCCTGCATTCCCGTGCTGGCCGCCTTCGATCGTGGCGCCACCTATACTCTGTATAACCACCGCGCCAGGGCCGCGGCCAGTCAGTCTCGTCAGTCTGCTCAGACTCGTCGCCAGCGAGCTATCTATATAGTCAGTCAGTGCCAGTCGTCGATTAAAGGTAGTGTGCCACCTTTGAAAGATTTCCCATTTTATTTTTCCTAGGATAAGAAGCTTCTGTTTTTACCTAATATCGCAAAAAAAATCAAAAATGGGCCTGGAATAGTGCCTTTTTCGCCTAAAAGTTTATCGGTTTTTAGATATGTATAACAACTGTAGTGGGCTCACCTGCAAACAGGCGTCGGGCAACAATCGCGAATGCGGCGCACTTGTAACAATAAGCAAAGGTCATTATAGTGTTACGACCATACGACGTACGGGAATGAGTTATCAGCTGTCTAATCGTAGACAACACAATGTCGAGCCTTAAACTGTAAGCCCGTATTGGTATTGTTTCTTTTATTTGGCTGTCGAACATTATTTATCCCTCGCCGGACCTATTGGTTTTCTACATACGCGCCGGCCGAGGGGGGGGGGGGGCGGGTACGACCCCCCCCCTCGCCGTTTCGCCCCTGGTGGAGCTAGCGCGTCGCGGAAAAAACGAGCGTGTGCGCCGTTACGAGACGCAGAGATTGGTACCCGATTTTAAGGTCCTAGGTCAACCGGTGACCTCTGAGGTCAGGTCAAGTGCCCCAAGGTACGGTTCAGTTTTTGGTGAATAACTTCGCAAAAAACGGCCACAGAACGCCGATTTTGGCAGCATCGTGTTCGTCTCGCTCAGGCGCGTCGAATGATATACTTTTTGTCCGGGTCAGGTCAACTTGGGGTGTTGACCTCAGGTCAAGGTCAGGTCAGCACCCCCAGGTCACGAAGTTGGTCGAAAGAGGTCATGTCGCATATCATTCGATTCGGCAGGTCTTCCTGAGTCCATTGGTGGCTTTCCCGACTCGCTAGCTCAATTTGATTAAGAGTTATTGACGAAAAACTAATATGACCTTGATGACGTCATAAATGACGTCACGCAAGGTCAACATTGCAAAAGTGACGCATCTAACCTTGCAAGGAGTGCATCAAATCACGATTCTGTGTGCTTGAGATAGTTGGAGATCGTTCCCGGCGCCAGAATAGCAGTTTTCATTTTTCCCCATTGACTTATAATGGTGAGGTCACGAAAATGACCTGACCTCATATGACCTTAAGGAAAAATCCGAGATATACAAGTTGTGGGACTCATAATGGATACTAGATCCTGCAAGTTTCATTTCCCTGTGACATCTCCTCTGGCAGTGAGGGCGTTGCGAAGTTGCGACATCTGAAGACCGTGCAGAGGTTCACTTATGACGTCATAGGTCAGTGACCTGACCTGACCCAAAAATGCGATTGGTGTCAAAAGATCCGGCTTGGATCAAAGGTCAGGTATGCCAAGTTTCAGCTCTCTATCGCCAGCGTGTTCGGAGCTATCGCGAAAAAACCCTATGGGGGGGGGGCGGCACCCGCCCCCCCCCCCCCTCGGCCGGCGAGGGTTATGGTTTGAAATATAATTTTATGTAAAATAATTGATATGAAAAAGCCGTCTTATAAGTTATGACCCCATTTCACCACACGCAAGTGGCAGAAATGACAATGATCAGCTGACGCATTTTTCTTGGCCGAAGTCAGAGCGCGCAGCCCGACGCACCACCACCGCACCACAAAGTATGAGCAGAAGCCGCGCCCAAAGCCAGGGCCCCGGTAACGTGAGGTAGCCGAGTCGGGGCAGCGTGCGCTGATCCAAGCCGGGGCCGCAGCTTTGGGCGCGGTCTACCGCATCCCCGCGGGCAGCCCCGGGCTATCACATGACACCGGGAGGACGCGCGGCTCCGGCTTGGGTCAGCGCACGCTGCCCTGTCTCGGCTACCTCACGTTACCGGGGCCCTGGCTTTGGGCGTGGTCTACCGCACCACCTAACAGGCGTGTTCGAAACCGCAGGAGCTGATGATGAACGGGTTTATCGAAACTTGATTGGATGAGCATATCGGTAGTAGCGATTTCAGTGTGTGCATTTATTGTTCATAGTGGTGTGAAATGTGATTGGGGTACGACCGACAACCCGTCGGGGCGAATTTCGCACTGGGGTACTCAAAATTTGAAGAATTTAACCCTCGCCCGTAAACGGCGATCTGCCACCTTCGCCCATGCAGGGGGGGGGGGGTTGGTGCGACCCCCCCCTTGGCGTTTGAAAACGGAGCGTCGTAGAGCTTAGCGGAAAAGACCAACGGATTGCTCTCGCCGAGATCTCGCGATTGGTGGTATATTTTTTGGTCCTAGGTCAACATTTGACCTATTTTTGACCGGTCAAAGGTCAAATTTTCGGAAAAATAGACTTTTTTCAAATTTTCCGCGGCGATTGCGGCAAAACGGTGGGAGATATCGACTTGAAACCTTCACTATCGTGTTCCTTGATCAATTCTCTATCGTTTGGTATGTATTTCGTTTCCCTAGCTCTAAAAATGGCGCGTTGGGAGCGCCGGAAGTCGGCAAGGTCACAGTCGGCGGCAGAAATTCGAAAAATCAAAATTTAAATTTTTGAAATCTGATTGTATTTTTGGATTTGGGATGTCCATTTGCTCCCTATAGAAGCTAATATTGCTGCATATTCCCATTGAGGTGACAAGAATTAGCAAAATAGTGGTTCGGGCGCTTTTCAAAAATAGTAGGGGAGAGCGGGGCCAGTTGAACCACTTTTTATATATTGACATGCACAGCGAGATCTAGTTTTCATATCGAAAAATGCACAATGCCATGAAAAAAATATGATCTTTTGGCTTTATTTTAAGATATGTAAAATTATGTTTCAAACATATTTT